AGAAGTGGAAGACGAGATGACGACGAGGAGAAAAGAAGAAGGAGAAGAAGAAGATGAGCGGAGAAGTAGGGGGAGGCGGACGGTCGTGTTTTTTTGTTTTTTTTTTTTGGCAACCTGTTGTGTCTCATGTCACCTACCGAATGTTGACGAACTAGAAGAAGAAGGAGAAGGAGGAGGAGGAGGAGAAGAAGAAGAAGAAGAAGAAGAAGAAGAAGAAGAAGAACGGGGCCTTCGTCGTAGCACTAGGGCCTTCGTCGTAGCAGCAGCAGCAGAACAGTCGGGGCCTTTGTCGTAGCAGCAGCGGCAGGACAGTCGGGGCACTCGTTGCACACCTGATGGCGATGGTGACGGCCGACAGGCACGAAGAAGAAGAAGAAGAAGAAGAACGGCTCCTTCGTTGTAGCATCAGGGCCTTCGTCGTAGCAGCAGCAGCAGGACAGTCGGGGCCTTCGTCATAGCAGCAGCAGCAGGACAGTCGGGGCCTTCGTCCGAGCAGCAGAAGCTGCACACCTGATGGCGATGGCGACGGGCGACGGGCGACAGCGCAGCAGGAGGAGGTCCGCAACTGGGATCATGCTGGGGGGCAAGTGGCAGACCACCCCAGCCGATCGAAGGTTTGAAGGGGGGAGAGGGAGTTTGGCGCCAAGATCCCACGGCTCTGTGGCCGTCGATCATGGAGGATCGACGTCCACAGAGCCGACGAAAAATTCAAAAACCAAAGCAGGGCTACCGGGCCCGACGCTGAGGTTTTTTGGGCCGGTCGGACCCGGTAGGCCTGCAGGAGGCCAGCAGCAGCCGAAAGGGGGTCCGAAACCCCCCGGCAGGTGACTGCGCTGGTGGGGCCCGACCCCCAACCGGGTGCCGTGCCCGGCTGCCCGGGACCTCCCCTGGGCCGCGGCCTGTCACCCGGGTGGCCCGGTTCCCCACTCAGGTATATTGTTTTAAAAAAATTGGTTCCACATCTATAGATGTTTTGTCCATCTCTCAGCTATTACTGGGTTGGGTGCTGTGGATCTACGTTGCAATCTGTAGCCTAGCCTTGTTGTACAGTGTAATAGGCTAAGTACTAAATAGTCAGTTTAACATTTATTTTTGAGGATTTCTGTTTCAAATTCCATGCCCATCATGCAGGATCAATCTCTAAATTTTCTAGGAGTTCCATTTTTCAATCGTCGGGGAAGGAACTAGWGTGGTTCAGGTAGGATTGGAACCTTCTGATCTGTTTGAAGATTGAACTTCAACCAGTGTGTCAAGAGTTACATCTGAAGAGCCACTCAGCCATTAGGTAGGTGTTGCAATCTGTAGCCTAGCCTTGTTGTACAGTGTAATAGGCTAAGTACTAAATAGTCAGTTTAACATTTATTTTTGAGGATTTCTGTTTCAAATTCCATGCCCATCATGCAGGATCGACCTCTAAATTTTCTAGGAGTTCCATTTTTCAATCGTCGGGGAAGGAACTAGAGTGGTTCAGGTAGGATTGGAACCTTCTGATCTGTTTGAAGATTGAACTTCAACCAGTGTGTCAAGAGTTACATCTGAAGAGCCACTCAGCCATTAGGTAGGTGCAGTGATGTCAGTCTGTTCCAAAATATGAATAATCCTGCTGGATTTCTTGAAGCTTTGGGTTAAGTAACCATTGCAGGTTCATTCACTTGGCCATCAGGCAAAGAACGCCCATGTTTTCCTGACATATGACACCTGGAAATCGACTGTGCACTACAAATTGTGAGGAACAAGCCCTCAAGGGGCCCTATCAGACATCACATTGTTCTGGGCTAAGGCCCCACTACGCCAAGTGCCCGCCCTAAGTGAAGGCGGGCCTGAATATTCGTCAAAGCCAAAATTCGACATTTCCATATGTGGGTATTCAGGCTCTTGCAGCACGCCAGTCGGTTGGGAAGACGCGTGAGCCTCACATTGGCCCAGGCCTTGACAGTTGCGCCTGGGCACACATACACAAAGCAGGGCCGATACATTGGGAAGCAGGCCTTCCACCTTTGCAAAAAAACAGTAGTGCCAACGCACCTGCCTGGGAGCCCTGCACAGATGCAGCAAACAGGCCAAGTCCGGAGATTCAGGCCATGCCTAACTGCAAAGGGCCCAGGCCCTCAACTGTAGTCTTGGGCCTGGGCACAGGGTCTGGACCCAACCAGAAGCTACTGGAAGCTTCCAGCCAGGCCACACACAGCATCCAGGAGGCGCTGTGTGGAGTAATCAAGGTCTGATTGAGGGTGAAGAGATACGTACCTGGTACATGAAGAGAGGTCGGCAATGGTGTTGGCAGTCATGTACATTGGTCTTCGAGAGTCGAAGTGATCCTGTTGCGTGAACCGGATGTAGGTAGGCTAGTCAGGTAGAGTAGGCTGGGCGCCGAGCGCCAGACAGGAGAGAGTGACTTTGGATACTGTGTTGGTGTGGCTTACGGGCTTGGACATTGGCTCATTACTTCATTGTATTGCTCTATATGGATGGTTTTCTCGGTGCATTTGTACTCTCTGCTTGGGACACGACTACTTGTTCAGCTGTGTGATTTCGCAACTTGGTTTTATGTATATCGCTCACACTCATATTCCTGGCACAATTCTGTGAGTCGGAAATAACAGACAATCAACAACTTTGCTTCACATCACAAAAAAAGCACGAAAAAAGCTGCACTTATGCAACGACTTGCTGATTTTGACTGCCAAGACCTGACTGCGAGGCTGTACAGTAACAGCGTAGGGTCAGATGTGTAGTTTTGTTTGTGTCAGGGACTAACAGGGAGTTCAGTACTGAGGAAAATTCGTGAGGGACATATCTGTAATTTCTCAAAATTACAGGCCCACAAATACTTTAGGCCGCACTGCGAATAGCAGGCCCGGGCTATCACTAGGACAGGAGGCCCTATGGCCTAGGCCCATAGCATGAGAGTCTATACCCAGGTAGGTAGAGGCCCTAGAAGCCAAACTGAAATGGTACCGGTCGGTCCAGTCTGTGTCTAGGTCTAGGCTAGTCTATTAATAGATTGAGGTCAGTAGGGTTAGGACTTTTGGCAGTTCCAGTTTTCGCATCACAGCGTTCTGAGCCAAGCAAGTACGGAAGGGACGATTGCCTACATGCGGCATCCTGAGACCTTCGTCGTGGATGGCAGCCATAGCCAGCCTTCTGGAGCTCGCCATAGCTGGGGCGTCCTCTGAGCATCCACCCCTGGGGGTGCTTGCGAGCGGCTGGGCTATTTTGAGGCTCTACATGGTGTTTCTGGGTGGACCACTGTCGCCGCATCTTCCTCTGAGATCGTGCGTGGCATCTACAGTGGCGCTGCAGCCATAGCTGCAGCTTTCTTCGTCAGAGTTGCTCATCAGCATTGAGGGTTACATCGTAGTTCCTGTTCTATATCTGGGTGGCTAGCGCAGGCCTCTGGGAGGCTATGGTTGTGTGGCGCTACTAACTGGGTGTAGTCTAGGGAGTGGAGTGTGTGGTTCTGTGAGTGGCGAGACACTGAGACAAACTCTGTAACGATATTGGTTCATATCGGCTCAATCTCAGATTGTTCTTTCGTTATCCTTGCAGATGTCTACTTGTGATTCGTTGTTGGGAGTATTGTCTGCTGCTTAGTGATTTTCCGTTGCTTACTCTGTCTGTGTGCAGTGTGTACTCTGTCTCCTCTCCCCTTCTTCTTATGCATGTATGGGCGTGCGTGAGATTGTCTGCGTGTGAGTGTTGGTGAAAATCGACAGACAACCAAGTTCATAACACCTATACCACTGACACAGCTGAAACTGCACAATGTAGATTCCCATTCATGGACATGGGTAGCAATCTTACGCAGCGCATGGCATAGGTCAGCAAGCCCTGGTTACCTTCATGGCCTGAAGCTTCACACAGGCAAAGCAAAAGCACACACCCAAGACTAAACTGTCCAAAAGCTTTGGAGTGGCCTATTCCAGCACTGCAAGGACAGCGTCGACGGCGACCACCACCACCACAAAAACAAGAACAACAACAACAACAACAACAACAACAACAACAACAACAACAACAACAACAACAACAACCACAACAACCACAACAAAGACAACCACAACCATAACAACCATGACAACGACCACGACAAAGACAAAGACAACAACAATGGCAACAACGACAACAAACCACAACCACAACAACGGCGACCATGACAGTGACAACCATGACAACCACAACGACAACCACGACAAAGACAACCATGACAATGACAACGACGATGACGCCAACAACAACAACGAGGAGGAGGCGGCGGAGGGAGAAGAAGAAGAGGAAGG